ATGATCATGCGATCGAATCGACCTGCTGTGAACAGCTGAACTCCTCGAACCTGGACATGTCGAAAGTAGTCACTGCGCTTCACCACATTGGGCACTACACCAAGCAACGCTGCTTGGCTATGTAGTCACACTGGCGAAGAAGGGCCGCGTCCTCAGCTCACAACCAGAGATATTGGCAGTCAAACATCCTGGGCAAACACGTATTTGCAGCTGCCTAACCTCTACATCTACTGTTGAGTGTCCACTGTGCGCCCCTGCAGCTGGGCAACGTCAAAGTCATACTTCGTCTCAGCTTGATATCTCAAATCTAGACGCGACACTACATCGACAAATCGGCACAGGCTACAACCGCAGCATGTACTCTAATAGAAAGATGCGAAGATATTGCAGTCTGATACGTTCTGAAAACCAAGATTGTAAGAAACAGCGTGATCCTGGTGGATGATTGCTTTGATTGAAGTTGCCGGTGAGAGGACCGGTCTGCTTACACAGCTTACAGTTCTTGCTTCATCGACACCAGTCAATCCCTTTGACTGCGACACCGAAACTTAACTAGTAACTACCGAATTTCGCATGGGTCTTACCAAAAATATTCGGGCTCCTGCTGTATGTCATACCAGGCGAATTCGCTACAAAAGCTAAAGTCGCATAGGCAATATAGGGGCTTAATAATCAGAAAGGGGTTTTGCAGATATTATGGAATAATTAGCAAGGAACCCTGAGGAGTACCATTGGTACTTACTCAGGCCCCTATACTACATCGGACGATCTCGGGAAGCGGAAGGCTCAGGCCATGGCATGAGGAAGCTGTGCAGCTTTGAAAGGAAAACCTGGGCAGGTTCACCGCACGAATAGGCAACCGAAGGGGAATCAGGCCGGATGCAATAGCCTGGCCCGAGCCCGACTCGCCGAATCGCTCAGGTCCGATGCCAATGAGGAGACTGTGCAGCAGGAAGAGGAAAACCGCAAACCCCAAGCCGAATGTTCCACGAGGCCCGGACCGGGCATTTTGCCAGGTCGTCCCCGAGACGGTACAGCGGATTCTTGATCACGTGCTCCACGAAAATGTCTGCATAGATTTGTCTGAGACATTCCTGCACGGATTGAGGCTTCCACTAGTGTGCCGGCGACATGCGTGAGAATTCCAGGCTCAAGCGATGATGTCCCGCACGCTTTGTCGATGATGTGCAACTTGTCAAGGGGACACTGCGATAGTCCTAACTTCGAAACAGAACGACAGACACATCGTTTTGTAATGTGTTGTAGCAATGCGTTGGATCGGACATCATCCACACGAGAAAGCAAACAACAACGAAAGATGCCTGCTATGAGCACAAGTAGCACAACGCTCATTAAAACGCCATGGCCAGGTCAATGGACTTCTTGTCGGACTGCATGTTTCCAACCACACCCACGAAGCCTCCAATCTCCAATCCCAACGCATCCAAACGAACTCCGGACCACTTTCAAGCCAAACTACGGTTGCCTGGCCATTACATCTTACTAAATCTTGTCCAACTTTTGTGCATTCACATCAGTCTGCATGTACATTTTATGACAGTTACGAGAAAACTGATCTAGAGAAGCATACTATGTTGAACTGCCTGCTGGTCCGGCACCGCAGGGTCTGTGGTCAGTACGAAGCGGTACCTGATAGTCGGTCTTTGTCAGAGCAGTAAGCCGGAGGTGCAAATATGGCAAGACCTGCTGGTACCCAAAGTTGCGAACTAGTACAGTAACTATGCAACCCTTTGCCATATCATTTCCCCATCTGCATTTACTGTAGCATCCGTGTTGCATTCTTGCTCCTGGTAATCTGAAGACCATCTGAATACCTATGCAACGATAAGCAACCTGCTTTTCAAGCCCTGCTTTGGGGTCCAGCGCCCTCCAGCTTCGAATTCACAGGGCAATGTGTCTCTGAAGTCATTCTCCTATAGCTCAAACAGCTCAACCCGACCTCAATCCCTGTGGTCGCCTAAACACCCTTCACGCCTGTCGACATACGCACATCACAGTGTCACAAACCGCAGAAGGACGAGGCTTTTAAATCTAGCTCCGATGAGCGCCGCACCCAGAGATGGTCTCAAAGGAGTGCAGCTTGTACCTGCAGGAAGCTCAGAGAGGAGAAAGCCAACAACTTGTGCGATTACGATGTGCTTTCCATTTGTTTTCAAGTTGCGCGAAGAAGGACTTAGGGATAGACAAGCGGTAAGAATCAGAATCGTAGGCTACTATTACCTCAGCAATCAAGAAGAGCAAGAGCAAGAATTGTGAAGCGCACTGCGAGGTGGTGTAGGACAGGAAGGCTTGCGTGTTCGACGGGCCCAGCTGCCTGGCTGCTCTGTGAGGGCGAGAATACATAGACATATACATATACATAGACATATATCACATATACATAGATCTGCTGTTTTATTTGTACATATATACTTACATTCGTCCAGCCTTCCTTCCTTCCGCCGGTCAGTCAGAGAGAGCTAGACACCCCGCTGGGGGGGTCGCCTTGTTTTATTGCATTTAAGCCTGGATGGAGACGAATCAACCCTGGAATCATTGTCAATAAAAGTTAAAGACGAGCACAATGCACCAGCGGAAGAGACATACCTGAAACACCACTACGAAACTACTTGGAGCTGGACTGTGCGAAGGACTTCAGGGTGATCAGCACGCCGCTGACATACTTCGTCTCCTGTGAGGAAGGGGGATCTCCACCAGACCTGACGCAAATTGAGACCCTGTCCTCTGCAGTGTCTCGGCAAGGGTGAGTTCGATTCCACTCCTTCCATCGAGCAGATAGGTCTTCCTTCTCAAAGAGTAGTTACAGACAGCATCATTCGGCTGTAAGCACCAGCTACACAGCTTTGTGCATCATACTTGTCACCCTGCCACTTCTAGCTCGCGCTTACCCATCAAGCATGCCAGAAACTAGAACCCTTGCCACCCGTGCATCTCCTCGCGGCAGAGAAGCTTACGGCCCCGTCCAAAGGCATAGAAGTTGTAAATCCTCAAGCTGTGCCACTTAGGTTTCAGGGGGATCCTGGTCAAGCAGTGCTGGGACACTTCTAGCGTCGACACCGAAGGTTAGCCACAGTAGTTTAGGGTTTAGAGTTTGAGCTCTCATCCTACGCCTTGGCTTGAAAGCACATACACTTTGCACCTATGTATGTATACCACGTTATACATGTATATCTAATACAGACTCTATATATATATATATATGTATTTTTCCTGTGTGCATGTACATATAACAAGTATGCATGCATGCAGGCATGCAGGTAGGCATGTAGGTAGGCAGGCAGGCAGGCACGCACATAGGCACGTGCAGGCAGGCAGGCAGGCAGGCAGGCAGGCAGGCAGGCAGGCAGACAGGCAGGCAGGCAGGCAGGCAGGCAGGCAGGCAGGCGGGGGTAGGTACGAGTAGTGAGTAACTCCAGTGTTTGGTAATTATGTATGATGTCGTGGCCGTTTCTTTGTGCAGCCGAGCAACATGGATGGGGTAGGGCACAGTCCTGTCCAGAAATCGACATGAATCATGCTTCGGTTTGACAAAGACGGAGACCATGAAAGAGAGCCGAGTTTGCTTGAGCAAGGCTTCTTTGAGAAGTGTACGCCGAGCGCTTTGGAGAAACCATGCCCAGGCCTAGACCTCACATGTTCGCGGCCGCCCTGGCTACGTCTCGAGAAAAATGCTCCAAGGCGTGGGGGTTTAGGGTTTAGGGTTTAGGGGGGGATGCCCTAAACCCTAAACCCTAAAGCCCTCAAGAAACATCTGGCCGTGCAAAGCTCCTCCCAAAGTAGATTTCCAGCAGAGCCGGTGCCGATCGCAGACGGGCAAGGGCTAGATCATAACGGTGTACATAACGGTGTACCTAGCTGTGAAACATGAACACTTCCCAAGGACGACAGGCTTTGCCTGTTTGTTTCGGGCCATGCTGCCATAATACTGGTTGCATGGGGGCCTGACTTGTCCGTTTGCACAGTCTTGTTGCGTGGACTCTTGAGCAGAAATAGCAGCTAGCACAAGCTGAGATTCGTGACAGAGAATCAGCCGGCCTGAAGCATCTGAACCCTGCAAGTCTGCAAAGGACTATCATCGGTTGTGGACAGTCGCAAATTTCTTCTGCCATGCCGTCGCTCAGCTCGCAAGGGAAAGCACAGCCCTGAGCTCGCTCGGGAGCTGGGGCAGCTCCGGCAGGGCAAGGCACTTACAATGTAGGGACATGACAGAAAAGGGCAGCCTGCAGCCGGCGTACTTGGCCGCCTCCCTGGCTGTAAGCTGCACTCCGCCGCCTTTAAGCATTTAAAGATCAACTTGACTCTTCCTGGCGGCAGCTGGCGGTCTGCATTCCAACAAGGGGGGTAGCTTGTCGCAGGACACGGGCACCAGGAGCGCCAGTGAGTGGCGTGTCGGACTGCGACGAGGAGTCAGGAGAGATCAGCGGCTCAGCGGCTAAGAGCGGCGGTTCGCATCCGCAGAGCACCACAGATCACCGCAGACGATGTCCATCACCCACTGTAAGTTAGCGAAGCCGCAGCGAATTGTACTTCTAGGAAGCCAGTCATAGCAGAGATCGAAGAACCGTCGTTCTGCACTGAACCACGGGATTCAACTGCCACTGCTCCACAGAGAAATGGGAGTTCCCGGCCCGTAACACTCCAAGGTCCCTTTGCTTGAAAAAGAAGTCGATGCTGCAAGGAGACACGTCTGCGAAGGTCTTCGCGGCCCTTAACCAGAGCTACCACACATTGCCTCGAAGGTGGGCCCTTTGAAAACCCGCCAAAGACTCAGAAGCTCAGTTCGTTGTTCTCCAGGCCCGAGCCGTAGCTCTGTGAGGGGCGAGTCTTCAGAGCTTTTCGAGCCACACGCACCCCAAAGTGCACGGAACCTCCCTGCTTGGCAGGAGCCTTCCTTCGGTATGCTAGAGTTGCTCAACTTGCAAGCTATGGGTTTGAATCTTGCACTTACGAGACTTCTGCCATGACTGGCCTCTTTGCCCGGATAAGACTCCCCTGAGCAGTCCTTGGCTCTAACTTGGGCCTAACTGCACTTTCCAATTCCTGAGATGCTGCTATCTTCCGACAGCCAAGGTCCAGTCAGGATGGCTTTAGGGTTCAGCCTGCAGCGCTCGGCGGTTTAGGGCCTTTAGGAGTCATCCGTGGAGTCATGAACGGAGCTCGCAGCAGCGTGGCCTCACCCCTTCCCTTTCCCCTCGGTCACCCTGACATGTACTTGCCAAGGCACCTGTTGGACAAGCCGGGTTGGGACTTTAACAGCTATGCGAGTAGAGTCGGGCGGGTTTCTGCAGTTGCTTCCGGGACGGCTTTGTAGCCACGCCTGTCTTCGCACAGACAGGAAGACCAAAGCCCAATGCTGTTTCGCCCCTTGCAGCTACTTCAGTGCCTCTGCCAAAGCGTATACAGGACTTGCAACTCTGCCACGGGGATGCAAGAGACGCGCAGAAGGTTGCTTGCAGGATGGGATGGAAGCCAGTGGTGCGGCATTTCTGGCACTTCCTCAGCCCCTTGCACTTGCACCGAAGGACGCCGGAAGGTTTCTCAGGCACATAGCCGGCCTTCACTGGGCCTTCACGAGACCAACTCGACACGTGCACTGAAAAAGCCGTAGAATCGCGTGTATCCCCTTCTTGAACCGCTTGGATGGGCCTTCTCAGTCTAGAATGCTCCAACCAAGTGGAACCGGTATCCTAAAATCATTCCGATCCACCAAAAAAAGGCCAGAGTAGGAACTGATCGTCAGGGTCGCATGGTTTGCAAGGATTGAGATGAGCCTTGGAAGCAGGCGTCTTGTTGAGTTGACTCCGAGGTGCCTCTCGAATGCCAGCATCTAAATTGCCGTAAAGCCCTAAACCCGGAGCTCTAAAGTGTACTGAGTTTGTTTTTCCCCTACGAAGATCAGCACGAGGCATCGGAATGTGGCCGCTGTAAGTTCCGACTCCGCGATGATACAAGACCAAAGCGATTGGAACCTAAACCAAATTGCCCGAATCACCAGAGGCAGTCCTGGGAGGCACCATGGGTTCGTTTGGGCGCCTTAAGGGCTTCTTTAAGGGACTACAATAGCTGCTATAGCGACGAGGGCGGCTCTGAACCTGTCTGCCACCTGATACACCTTTGTGCTTGGCGAAAAGCTTTAAAAGCTCCGTCGCCGAAAAAGAGCGCTTTGGCAGATGCAATTGCTCAAGCAGCCAATCATGCCAAAACAACAAAAGCGGTATGACTTTCACGCACTTCTTGCCATCACTTGTGCCTCTTGGGCTGTTGATCACGGCCTAGAAAGCAACACAGATCTTCCTGCAGATTGGACAAGGCTGTCGCTTCTGAGATTGTCTTGGCAAGCGAGGGACACAAGGCAAACACAAGGCCAGGGGTCAGGATACGATGAGGCTCAGCCGTTCATGGCACCTCGCTGTCATGGTTCCCCAGACAGTTCCCAGATCAGCGCTCCTCATCATGCGGGGCATGGCATATCTTCCCGAGCCCCTACACCCCTTTCAACCCTACACTCTAACCTGCCAGCTCTGGCCTGGGAGGAACACTAAAGATGCTGCTTTGGGACCACTGCCCCATCCATGGCTCGGACAGTGATTAGAAGCAAATCTGAGCTGCAGCTGACTACATTTTGCCTGCGGTGTAGGCTCTTGCACCCGCGAAACCCACCAAGCTCCAAAGCTGCTACCGAGCAATTCTCAGCAAGAGCCTCGCGAGAGTTGCGGTTGAGTCCCCTGAGTACTGCTGCCATGTTTTTTCATGAAAAAATGTATTTTCATGAAAAAACACGTTTTTTCATGAAAAACAGGTCCTTCATGCCCAGCTCCTGCGGTACGAAAGTTGAAGCCCGATCTTCGATGTGAAATGTGTGCTTGTATAAGCCGGGTTTCCCTTGATGCCGGCACGTGGCATCCTACTGCGACGGGCTCCTCCGTAAAATTACGGCTTTTCAATTCTCAGAGCCCTGTCGAGCGAATCCCAGAAGTTACAGGGGTTGAGTAGGACTATGTCATACTACGTCAAAGTACAAGGGTCGTGACACGATGCCAGGGTTCCTGAACCTGCCCCACACTGCCACGGTTAGGAGGGGTAGGCAAAATCAAGACTTTTTGCCGTGAACATCGATCACTTACCAGATATCATCAGTTATCACTGATATCACTGACCAAAACCATATCACTTCGGGTGAAACGCCTCTCCAGAAAAGGAGTACGTCCACACCAGCATGTTAAGGCCAAGTTCCTCGAAGATGATCCTTCATGCCCAGCTCCTCCGACACTGGCTGATCCGA